TGGGTGTTCGCAATGTGATGAGAACTATCTGTTTGGTGATTGAGGCTGAGGTGGAACGGCGAAATGCTGGTTGTGCCGATGCTGTGACAGGTCATCTGGTGAGATTATCTCTGTGGTTGGGGGCAGCATGAACGAGGTACGTTGCTCTTAACCTTACCTACCCTCTTCATCACTTCTTACCGTGAGGTTGTGAGTTMTGTCTTGAGAGTCCTCTCATCATGAGGTGTCGTGTGCGCTCAACCTTGAGAGTCGTGATTGTTCACGTAGAGCATCTGGGGGAAGACGGGCGAAGCTTCTTGAAGGGCCCTAGACAAAGCACAGGGTCACGATCACCATGCCAACCCACTGGGTGTAGTACACGCATGCTTCGCTGCAAGTCGTTGGTTCTGCTGCTTGCGCATGATAGGGGTTAACTCGAGTGTGGCAGCCTCTACAGACGCTTACCAGACCGTCTATAAACATTTCTGGCTGGGGACTCAACTCTGATCTGGCTGTGATCGTCGTCCTGCTGCGACATAAAATAATTCCTGATGTCACTTGGGGGCGGACGTTAAATTGCCTCTTGATCAGCCATATCATCCGAGTGGAAGGCTCGTCGGCATACGAGGGTAAATAAGAGTGTTGTGGCTGCCTTGCTCGACGATARCCCGGGGCACAGGGGTGGGACCGGATTGCACACCTTTGAGACACGCTTGGCTTTTGATGCAAAGAAACGTGACACCGTGACATTGGGAAGAACAAAGGGAGGGGTAGATTGCAGATGATAAGTTCGGGTCTAAATTCCAAACTGTGAACAGACCCGGTCAGTCAACATTATTTTTATTATTGATTAGTTAGATGAACAGCCATGTGACATCTGACAGACAACATTAGTTTAGAATATTATCTATTCCTGATGTTCTCTCTGTTTGGGAACTAATCTTGCTAAAAATAGTATTGACAATAGGAACCTTACTTACCTGTTGACCCCAAATGAGATCTGTTCTGATARCCACCACTAATTAGTTGGTCTGTGTACTATGCTGSGGTAGGCATCTAGAATGATCTAGTGTGGACAGTGCACAGTGCTGTAGCCTATGAGCGACGTGGAGGACACCGGAGAGGACGACCGCAGGACCTTACGATCGGTTAGAGGACCGGTATCCCATGTGTCTTTAGGACCGGAGGGTGATAGGGAACTGTTCCGCCGACAAAGGGAAAGGAGAGCTAGAGCAGCCGAGGCCAGCAGGGCATTTGCTAGCGAGGCCAGTGCTATAGCAGCCATGGCTACCACAACCATGAGCACGTCTGCGCATCAGACTTCCCAAGCCGGAAGTTCAGGTACCGCCGGGTCCACGGTCGTGCAGACCGTGAGTCAGTCCACTGGCTTAATGACAAGCCAGCCCGCGGTGTTGTCCCCAGAGGATGTCGCCATCCAGCAGGCAGCCCTGCAAGAGGCACAACTACAGCAGGCATTAGGAAAGATAAAAAGGGAGAAAGAGATAATGATTAGAAGAAGAGTCAGGATGCAACAGAGAGGGGCAGACATAGAGGAGTTAGAGACGATGGACCTTACGCATATGGATGAAGATGTGAAGGTAGTTAGGAGGGCCCTGCTAGGCGTAATTGAGTTGCAGGAGCATCAAAATACCCTCCTTCAGGACATTCAACAAAGCCTAGCCGTGTTGGCAGGTCGTGCTCAGGCAGCACCATCACTAGCAGGGCCTGGTGCCTGGCCCGTGCCATATCCTCCTCTTTCTGTTCCACCGGTGACTGGGGTATCCCCATATGTAGCCCCTTCATCGGTTGCTATCGTTTCTCTGGGCATGCCTCTGTCAGGAAGGGTAACAGCAGGGAGTAGTTTGCAGGTTCCTGTTCAGACAGTGTTTACTCCAAGTCCGTCACAGGTTGCAGTCACCACGCAGCCTGCTGTCTCACAGTCAGTGCAACCTCAGGGCACACAGCCCCAGCAGCTAGCACAACAACCTGTATCGCCGGGTCCACAACCCGGGTTGGTGCAGGGACCGAGACAAAGTCGGTGGGTTCCAAAGACGGCCATTGCCGCTCCCAAACCCTTTACAGGGGACAAGAGAGGCGAAGATCTCGACACATGGTTGAGGGCAGTGTCGGTCTATGTCAAGTGTAAACTCACCTTGCCACACGAAGAAGTGTTTGTGGCTGCTTCCTACCTGGAGGGTAGTGCAGCGAGATGGTTGAGTGGGTTAGTGCAACTCCAGGGGTACGGTCATGACTTCCGCTCTTGGGCAGCCTCTCAAAAATTGGAGGACTTCCTGAAAATGGTGGAAGACAGGTGACATGATCCGCAGGAGGCGCAAAAGGCCACTGATGCGATCCTGACACTGCACACTCGGCAGTTTAAGTCAGTAAGGGATGCCACCGACGCTGTAGAGCGTTTGATTTGTGTTCCAGGGGTACGCTATGACCCCCAGGTCCTGCTAACTTCGTACTTGAGGACCTTATCTCTGTCGCTCAGGAACCAGTTGGCGAAAGAGGCCAACATTAATATGCACAACTTTCCTTCGTTCAGCAAGGTGGACCTAGACCTAGAAGCAAATATATTGCATGGACAGGCACCCACTACGGAAGGGAGAAAGAAGACACTGCCTCCCAACTGGAAGACGAAGGGTCGCTTAATGTTTGTCGACAATGATGGTTCAACCATCGAGTTGGATGGGAACCTCCAGGAGGGAGTAGGTGCAGAGGCAGGTGGCGATACTTCAGAGGGTGGAGTAGTCACCGCCGTAACCCAACAAAAAGGTAAAGGGACCGGTAGACGCCCTAGGGGATCCTGGTCGAAGAGTCAAACAGACCCCAATGCTCCTCCATGGGAGAAAGCGGGTCTAGCTGAGGACGTGTGGAGAGATCGGTGGGCACGGCAAGCTTGTATCAAGTGTGGTCAATATGGTCATAGCATGTACAAGTGCCGCAATAGGAAGGTCACCGAGAAGATCCCGCCCACTATGGGGTCGGCAGTAGGATCCTCTCAAACCGTTGGTAGCAACGTTGCTAGTTCTTCAGGCATTGTTCCGGGAAATACGTCGGGCTAGTAGGGATAGTAGCTGTTCCTACTAGGGTCACGATGGTGGATTCACCCTCATCTTCGCGAGAGATGGCCCAAGCTACAAACTCTTCAGTCGTCCCGCAAACACATTCAGACTCATCGACCCTCTGTTCGATGAATGTGTTTGAATCCTTAGAGGAGCTAGAGCATGAGTGGTCTAGATCAGATCCACTAGCTTCTTGGACGGCGTTAGTTAAAACCCCTAAGAGTGAAATGTTTGTCAGCGAGGTAGTCATAGGAGGCCGCAAGGCCGGGGCCTATTACGACACTTGCTCGACTAGAAACTTTATGAGTCGCGCGTGCGTTGAGAGGCTGCGCTTACAGGGGCAAGTGCAGCGCCTGAGTCGACCTGTGGAGTCGACCTGTGCCAACAAACAGCGTATGGTAGTTAATGACTACCTCCATGATGTAGAGTGTGTTTTCCCCGTACGCAGGAGGGGACTTGAGACATCGTGTCTCGTTCCTGGTGAGTGACGAGCTCCCAATGGACATGTTACTAGGTATGTACTACCTCTCTGTAGCACAGCCCCAGTTTGACTGGGACCGAAAAGTGGTCAAACACATGTTGCCAGGTGGAGGGACCGCCAGATTACATAAGTTCAAAGCTAGTAGTCTGATTGAGTCCTATGGGTGCATGTGTGCAGCCGCATTCTATAATTATTATAATCAAAATCAGGAGGAGGGTATGTACTTAGTCTATGTCTCTGCTGCAGGCGAGCCGGTGCAAATGCCACCAGAGATAGAGGGAGTAGT